AATTTTTTGAGCTTACGGCGTTCACAAGGACATATTTTGTGTTGAATCAACGTTTCATATAAGATTTGTAGCAACACTTCCCTTAAAAGCGTCTCTTTAGAGAGTTGGTCTTTTCTGCTAAAAATATCGTGCTACACCAACTTGAAATCTTTCAATCAATTTTATTAGGGTATGCAAGCCACTCTCAACAGAAAAGAAAGTGTCAGCTTAGAGCGGCGCGCAATAAATAAGAGAGACAGATTTCGAGTCATCATTCGAAATCGTCTCAGCAGATCTTATATTGAATAGTTGAACTTATGGTGACCAGTCGTGCCTTTAATCAGGTAAAACTACATATGAATTGACTTTGTAATGATAGTATATCTCACTAGAAGAGCTTTCGTCCAAAGTTGTTTCATATCTCAGCTATAATTCTACTGGTATTAAAGCCTAATAGTTTTAAGAGCTGTACCGCAGTAATCTTGTTTGATTAAAGAAGGAGAATTTTTAGAAACAAACGTTATCAACAAAACGCTTAGAGTTTATAGCCTCTGTAGGGTGCTCTAAGTCTCGAAGGAGGACCTTGACTACTATACATTGAGTCTTCAACCTTTCAGAAAGAGCGATCGTCGCACTGCGCTCGGTCTGGGAGACGATACGTTCTGCATGCACGTACGAGATGTGAACGAATGTGCCCTAGGCCTTACGAATTGCTCCGGAGTAGCTGAGTGCATCGACAGGCCAATCGGCTATACATGCAAATGTCCTGATGGCTACATTGATGGGAATCCAGATGAGCCAGGACGAGTTTGTGGTGCTCTATTGTGCGATCTCTGCAATTCACATGGTGACTGCGTTCACAATGCACTAACGAACAATATCACTTGTGTGTGCACTGAAGGATGGACTGGAGAGTACTGCCAAGTGAGTGTGCGCTCTTCGTATTTGGTCATTCAGTCATCAACTCACCTTCATTTCAGGTTGCTCCCTCAAATGCTTCGTTGGTACTGCTCATCCTGCTCGCATTACTCTTCCTCCTGCTCACCTTATGTTGTTTACTCTACTTCTGCACTAAATGTCATTGTTTCAAGAGCCGGGCCATGGCTGGAGGAGCGCCGTTTGTGTACAGGTAATGAGACTCTTCTTTCAATTTTGGTCCAGCTATTTAAATAGAAAGATCACCTTCAATTTCTCAGACGAGGAGGAGCATGGCCGTGGTCTACTCTGGAAGGATCTTCTTCGTCAGAGAGCGGTGCCGAATTCTCAGCCCTTAGCGCAGCTGGTCATGAATATTACCCTGAAATTGGAATTCCACGAGCAAAATTAAAGGTGAAACGATTTGCTGTGACAGTTTCAAGTAAAAGCTTAGATACGAAAACTCTGAATAAGGTAGTGATAAAATTGGTCTTTCTGATAAGCATATCTTAATTACATTTGTCGTAAAAGACTATTTTTTCATAAGCAGTTAGAGTGGTAGTTCTTAATTCTGAGTGTCCAAATATTGAAAAAATTATAAAAACCAAATATTTAGGCGGGTGCAGGTGCTTTGGATACGACAGCTAAAAGCATGGATGTTGCAAGACTGGACCAGTATCTTTCTGAAGGTGGGTAGTTTTATGAACCTTTAAATTGAGCGAAATGAAATGTGATACTTTCGGCAAGGGCATGACTTTATATTGAAATCAGAAACCTTTCAAAGTTTTCTGTCCACGAATTTGCCTTTTTAGATCATAAAGCCGTTTTTTTAGAGTAGGACAGCTATGTCTTACCTTATGTCTGTCCAGTATTTCAAAAGATGCATAAAAAACTTACATAACTTGATACTTGGGTAAGCTTTATGTTCTAGGTGCTGTTCGCATACCTCGAGCTCATCTGGTGGGAAGCGCGGCACGTCTAAATGACTCATCTGACAGTATGTCAAGTGCATCTTCAGAGTACACCATAAAAGAGGAAGTTGAGCGAAAGGTTCGTTTTGAGTTTCCTTTGTAATGACAGTATCGAAGCTTATTTCATGGTTGTAATCAGAACTTCCCTCCTAAGTTGACGATCACTTCTATCCATAGGTCATCACTGACGTTACAACAAAAGAAATCAAGACGACCACTACCACAGACAGCTCGGGTAACGTAGTCACAACCCGAGCCGAGTCGTATGTATACCCTGCTGAGCATACCGTTTCCCATGGAGATAGCGCGGTACGTACGGTGCTTTCTTCGTTCTCACATCTCTGCAACCATTATTGCAAGCTTTTAAGGCTGCCCATTCGTCCTACGCGGCTGAGTCTGCCTATGCAGCCCGGAATTCCGAATATTCAAATGCTGCTTCCTTCCATGAGGTGTGTCTCAACGAGTCCAACTAGTTTTCATCAGCGAAAGCACAATTTTAAGCGAAACTTCCATCAATCCGAGGCAGAGGAACGTGAGCGAGGAGAGAGTGTTGCTGAATT